TCTTGCCCGCCCGGGGGCTGCTTGGGGGGCGCCTGGGGGCTGTCACAAAGACCCCCGAGGAACAGGCAGGCTGCGCTTGCTTTTCGGGGGTCAAGCCTATGCGAACGCTGCAGAGTCTTCCTTTGGGCAGGCAATGTCGTTGTTTCCTAACTTTGGTCCGGATCTCCGTGTGTCGGCCCTGGCTCTGCTCTTTGGTGTCCTTGCGCTTTTGTTGGTGTGGGGGGCACCTGGGAGGGGCTGGGGGTGGTGTCCTGTGCCCGAACCCCAAGAGGTTTTCTTTGCTGGTGTTGTGCTGGGTTTCTGACCTGGCTGGTGAAATGGAGGGCAGGCAGAGATTATCGGTGGAATCCTCTGGTGGGGGGAAGCGAATCCAAACGAGCGGGCGGGCGGTTTGTGAGACAGCAGAACGAGGAGAAGAAATCTCTCCTGCAGGAGCCAGCTGTGTAATGACTTCGTTAAGGAATCCCCCGGAGAGCTCGTTCCGCTCGCGCTGTGCAGAGCGCGGGTGCCGGCCGCAGCGGCGGGGAAACGCTTCCCGTGTCTCTGCCGAGGCGGCCGGGCGAGGAGGGCGACGGTGCCTCGACCGCCCGCCCGGGCCAGGGAACTCCGATACCCCGGCAGTTGTCATCAGAAACAACGGAAGCTTATGAGCCCCTGGAAGTTGATAAGGCTGTAGGTAACGCTATAGGTAAGGTAGGATTTCCCTGAGGAAGGCTGATCGACGTCCCTTCCCGAGCAGGTCAGCGGCAGATTTACAGCAATATTAACTTTCTTGAGCCATGGAGTCGATCGCAGCGGGCTTCGGTTATAATTACGTGTCAAAACACGGCCCTGCTTGCTCGCTGCTGCCGTTCCCGGTATCGGACACGGAGGTGGGCTCGTCCCTTGCCAACCCCTGCTCTCGTCGGGGCTCAGCACGGAGCCTCTCCACCAAAGGGGAGCGATCGAGCTCCTCGCCACCACCTTAAAATTTGCCACCTCCCGTATCACGGAGGGAGCAGTTTGTTAATGATTTAGCTGGTAGACATTTCATCTGGAAAAGAAAAGAAAAGGAAAGCCACATAAAAGGGACTTTCCCAAGGAGGTGTGATAATTAAGTGCTCGTCATCGTCTATTCTTGTATCCCAAAGGTATCTGAACTTTATTTTCCTTTAAACCGCTTTTCCGTGGCTCTGACACTGACATTGTGCAAAGCAGGGAAACTGCAGCAAGCAAGGTCCTGCCCCGTCAGGTCAAGCCCAATCGCCCGTCTGTCTCTGGAATGATTTGGGGATCGTGGCTGCGGCCCAGACGGCCCCGGAGTGAACCTGAAGGGAGACGGGGTTCAGTTAAGGTCGTGGGTGCCCGGTACCCCTCAGGTCACGACAGGAAGGTGTTTGGATGAGGGCACCGACTATGGAATGTTTTCTTTCCATTGGGATAGTTTGCAGTTACGACAGCGTTCCCTATTCTTTCCGACACCATGGACAAATGAGAGTCCTGAGGTGACGATGGCTCTGTCTGTCCCGAGAAGCAGATGCCTTTGTGTGTGTCGTTGATTCCCCATGGGCAATTTTTCCTGGAAGTCGCAATCTAAGCAGGATAAATTCCGCGGGTGTAGTCGGGACAGTGCTAAGACGTGTAACTGCAGCGGGAGCAGCCCCGTTCCCAGCCAGGGAAACGCAGGCGGCTGAGGAACGGTCCCATGCCACCCCTTTTTGTGTGAGCAACGGCAGATTTCCGAGCAGTGCCATCCCGAATATCCAGTGGGACCCCGTAACTGCTGCTAATTACTCCCTGTGTCTAACGTGGGATCCGCCTCGGGACCTGCTGCTGCTCAGGCAGCAACGCCCGCCCGGGAACGCTCACGTCTGATCGTTGCCTTTTACAGAGACCGCGCTGAGCTCCCTAAAGCAGCCGCACACGGAGGGTCCCCCGGCGGTGCCGGCACCGCATCAGCGGCGAGACTCGGACAGGTACTGCCAGCTCTGCGCTGCCTGGTTCAACAACCCCGTGATGGCACAGCAGCACTACGACGGCAAAAAGCACAAGAAGAACGCGGCCAGGGCCGACCTCCTGGAGCAGCTGGGGAAGACCCTGGACCTGGGGGAGCTGAGAGGTGAGAGCGCGGGTACGCGGAGGGCAAGGACCCCGCTCCCCTGGGATCCAGTGGCTGCAGCGCCGCCGTCACCGTTCCTCTGGTCGGGTGGTGCAGGGGAGACCCTGGTGCTCTTGCTGCTTTATGAGGCTCCTGCTGCCGTGGAAGAGCCCCCCCACTCTGAGACAATAGCCTTCAGTTTAGCAGCATCCTTTACGAGTTGTTTCCTAGGTATTTCTTTTGCCTCTTCCCAAAATAGTCCCGTCCATTAGCACACACTGTGTCCTCCAGGGAACGTGGATATCCCTCCCTGCGAGCTGAGAGAGGACACGCTGAAGCGCTCCGCTCTACCCCGGCTTCCGCAGGGAAATGGGGACGGCGTTTGTTGCTAGAGGCAGAGCTGCTCCCTGCATCTCCCTGATGGAGAGCAGGGCATTAGCTGTCTTGTGCAATTTAATTAGTGCCTGTAAAACACTGCAGGGGCCCTGGGGCAGCAGCAGGAAGGAGGAACCCAGCCTTTGCTGTACCTGGAAGGGGGCTGTAGCCAGGCGGGCGCCCGTCTCTCCTCCCCAGTAACAAGCGATGGGACGAGGGGAAACGGCCTCAAGTTGTGCCAGGGCAGGGTGAGGTTGGCCATGGGAACAATTCCTTCCCCTTGGGGCTGTCAGG